CACATAATTTTTACTATAATTTAAATAATAGAGATAAAACTATTAGATGGCATGTTAGTGTGGAGGCAGGAGGTACACAGGTGTCACAGATACTACTATCAGTATATCACTCCCCCTCTTCTCCATGACTTCTACAGTACAGAAGAAGTGATGGAGAAGAAGGGGAGAGATATACTGACTGACAGTGTCACAGCACAGTACCTGCAGGCTGCAGCTCTCGCCGGCTCTTCTGTCGTCTGTATTGGATCCTGATTCCCGCTAAGGAGCACCTCAAGTCGTCTGGACTGGACCTCGGAACCCCCCCTCAGTCACCTCACCTCACGGCCACACCTCCCTTGTCACACTGTGCCGCTGCCAGGCAGCCTGCTGCGGTAATGCAGTCCTCTGGTCGGCTGCAGCTCTCCGACTCCTCAGTCCCATGAAGATCGCCGCGGGCAGCGTGAGAGAGCTGCCGGCGGGCAGGGCCAGATCTAATGATAATTAAATACTATCATGCGGGCCAGAGATAATTCCAGTGCTGGACGGTCCTGGCCCGCGGGCCTTGTGTTTGACATGTATGCTATAGAGGAACCCCAATGGCGACAAGTCAGGTTCAAGCACTCACCTTTTGTTATTTGGATATAAGACGCATCGCTCCTCTTCCTCACAGTGTCAGTCGCCGTCCTCACTTCACAGATATAATACCCAGAATCCTCCAGCTGAGCTGAATGTCTGTATGTATCAGATACACTGAACTCCTGCACGGTCCGTCCATCTCTGTAGAAAGCAAAATGCAGTTTTTCCCTGGCTCGGAGAGTTTTAAACGTGGCCCCACATTTCACGGCCATGTCACCGCCTTCTATTACCTCATAGGAGGACGTTTTTATTTGCGGAAGAGTGAAGAGCTCTAAAAAGAGGAAACCATGGCGATGAATATATTTGCTATATTTGTATGAATGCATTAACGCGGTTTGCATATGCTCACCATATACCCGGATATAGAACCCATCGCTCTTCTTCCTCACTGTGTCAGTCACCATTCTCACTTCACAGGTGTATGACCCAGAATCCTTTAGCTGAGCTGACTGTACTCTGTATGTATCAGATGTACTGAGTTCCTGTACAGTCCGTCCATCTTTGTAGAAAGCAATCTGCAGCTCTGTGCCAGTTCTGAACAGTCTGGTTTTACATCTCACCATCATGTCACCTCCTTCTATAGCGCTGTACTGGGCTATTATTTCCGGTGTAGAGAAGAGCTCTGAAAGTGGAAATCATGGCAGTAAGTTGGTCACTATCCTAATCTCAGCTTATTAGTATTAGTCATGGGATCCATGTTTGAGCCAAGCATGAGTTCGACTCGAACATCGCTAGTTTGTGTGTTCCCCAAACAAACAAACTATCAGGGCGTTCGGCGGGCTGTTCGCCTGCCAATGCGCCTTCTGAAGCCATAATTGGCTAAAGCCTTGCACCTGACCACAGGACAGGTGCAAGACTTTGCCCAATCAATGCATTGAGGACTGTGAGAGCCATGATTGGGTAAAGTCATGATGTACGAGTACCTCTTACTCATTCACAAGGGGGGGCTTAACATCAAGGCTACCCTGATGTGAATAAGCCCCCTGCCCGCACCCCCACAACCAACGCCCCAGGGCTTGTGGGGGAGAGGCCCTTGTCCCCATCGGCATGGAGACAAGGTGCTTTTCCCGGGGCGACCCTGGAAAAGCACCCTCCCAGTGCAGTGGGCGTGTGGCCTAGTATTGCAGGCCTTTGCTCGGATCAAGGGTCTGGTTGGGAATTTTAGGGGGGGGGCACCACTTTTTTTTCCCCATCATTTTTTTTTTTTGGGGGGGGGTTCCTCAAAATTCCTACCAGACCTTAAGGGCCTGGTATGACTTTAAGAGGGGGAACCCCACACACTTTTTTATTTGTTTTGTTTTTTTACATGGGTTCCCTCCTATAATTCCTAGGGAAACTTTTGGGAGGAGCCCCACGCTTTTTTTTTTTTATGGGATCCCTCCTATTATTCCTACCAGACCTTTAAAAAAATATAAATAAAATGTCATATTTTTTCTTCAGAAATGTCAGTTTTGCTGCAGCAGGTTCTATACATCGTACAGATCGGCCACTTCACAGGCAGTTTAAGGCACAATTTTTAAAGGAATTTTTCATTTTTATTGTTACCCTTCAAGTGATGTTAAAATCACTGCTCCTTTAAAAACTGTATTTTTTTAAAGGTTTTTTGTTTCATTGATTCCTGTCCCCCAGGGCAGTACCCGGATCCCCATACACCTGTTATGGCCAATAACTTGCATAAAAGGCTTCAAAATGGGGACATTTGATTTTCAAAGTTCTAGCCCCCATAGACTTGCACTGAGTTCGAGTTTGTATTCAAACTTTTCCCATGTTCTAAATTCGAATTGGAACCGAACTCGGGGGCCCATCACTAATTAGTATCAGCAGATAAAAGAAATGAGATGCATGGGTTATTGTATTGCAGTGTTCTGTTAATGCATTGATACACTTTTACATCCTTACCATGTATCTCTATATAGAGCCCATAACTCCTCTTCCTCAAAGTGTCAGTCACTGTCCTCACATCACATGTGTATGACCCAGAATTCTCCAGATGAGCTGGCCGCACTCTGTATGTATCAGATAAACTGAACTTCTGGACAGTCTGTCTATCTTTGTAGAAGGCAAACTGAAGCTCTGTGCTGGCTCTGAGCGGATCCAGTCTGGTGTCACATCTCACCGTCATGTCATCTCCTTCTATTACCCTGAGCTGGGCTTCTATTTTCGGAGGAGAGAAAAGCTCTGCCAGAGGAATTAATGACAATGAAAAATTACCCTGATTTATTGATTCTTCCCAAGTCCATAATGTGTTAGACAGAAATATCACACATACACTGAGTGGCCAGATTATTATGAGCACCCCATCAGTACTTCGTTGGGCCGCCTCGTGACTCCACGAGATGATGAAAGGTGATGCGAGGAATCTGACACGGCACTGTTGCCCTTCTGTAGTCTTGTACCAGTCTTGCCACTCTCCGTTCTGCCCTAACATTGACTAGTCGCTGACAGCCACAATTCGCACGTTCAGACCCAGATTTTCGGCTGACAGTCCGGTCTTTAAACACTTTAACAATGAGCCCCTCCTGAACATTTAGCGAATTCTGCTGTTTTGCTGATACTCGCTCCATGGCTCCTAACGCCAACAATCATCCCACCTTCAAAGGCTGTTAAATCGCGTTGTTTCCCCGAATCTTCAGAAACAAATCACTTCTACTGTCGTGGTAAACAACCTGCTTCCCTATTTATAATGGTCTGGCCCTCTAGCAACTTCAGCGCCAAATTATAGCTAATTTGCCTACAAACGTCAGGTGGTCATAATAAACTGGCCACTCAGTGTATGTCATAGTGACTTACCCTTCACAGAGATACTGGACACGTCTGAGTGCTCATGCACGGATAAACCATCCTGATGTTGTATCTGTTTAGTACATTTGTACACTCCAGACAGTTTCGTTTCCGCATTAGTAAGATGGAGCTCGGGGTCAGTGTCTGATGATTGAACCTCCTTATCATCCCTGTAGAACCTTGTGTTTATTGCAGTAAAGCCTTTTACGTGGTGACATCTCAGAGTCAATAGGTCTCCTTCACATATGGAGGGAGGTCTCTGAAGAATGACAAAATCTGTCAAGGAAAAAAAGAAAAATGTACTGTATGCTGTTATATTCAGGGCCGGATTTACTCTCTCTGCTGCCCCAAGGCCAGGTTCCTCAATGTACCCCCCTGTGTGCAGGCCACATACAATCACCAAGATCACTTGTACAAAACAAGCGGCGGATTCCCTGCTATACATTTAGCCCTGCTTGCCCAAAGAAAACATCTACGCACCCGGCACCCAGAACTGCATGTCCTGGGCGTCGGGAGATAGGAATTCCACACCGCTGCTGACCCTCTACTCCCTGCTGCCCCGAGGAAATCTGGCCTTGGTTATATTCCCATGCAACAAAACAATAATTATGGCGATAAGATTGTCGACTCACTTATTGCGACATTTAGAAAGACGGGCGCGCTGATATCAATGGAATTGATCTGGCACTGGTAATCTCCACTGTCCTCCACGGTTGAATTCAATATTTGCAGGCTCTGTTGATCTCCGGGTATTGGTTTGTTGTCTTTGTACCAGTGATAGGTCCGGGGTTCCTCTGGTACAGTAGACGATACATTACATGTTAGAGTCACAGACTCACCTACCAGTATATTCCCCCAGTTGGGTGTGAAGGTCACCACAGGTTTAATGGCACCTCCTGCATAGAAGAGAGGAGCTCACACATAAAGATATACATAGCACAATGTTGACCAAACTACGAAGATAATGTCCTTTTTTAATATGCGAGGAATCTGACACCATGCCTGATGAATAGCACTGTCCAGTTCTGTGAGATTTGATGGTTGTGGAACCAGCTGCCTGATGGCTCTTTCAACTTCGTCCCACAAATGCTCAATTGGATTGAGATCTGGTGATTGTGGGGGCCACCTAAGCGAGGTAAAGTCTCCCTCATGTTCTTGAAACCACTCCTGCACAATACGAGCACCTTGGCATGGCGCATTGTCTTGTTGGAAGAAGCCATCTCCATTGGGATACGCCATCAACATGATAGGATGCTAGCTCCAATGCAATGCAATCAAACAGCACCTTACCTCCATGAAGTCTCTGACCCCATGCTGGTTATGATAAACATATTATGTTGATTGCGGCAACATTCACCATGTTTATTCTCAGATAATTTTGTTACAAGTCATTCTGAACTGAGAAAGTTAGTTGGATGACCAGCAAAACGTCTTTAACAAAAATACAGCAAGCCCAGTTGCCTTGATTTATTTTTTACAGATTTCTCCAATGATGCTGATGCAAATCGATTAATCTGAAGCCCCATAACACAGATTATGGGTTGAAATAATAATAATAATTATTATTATTATTATTATTATGATAATAAATTAGTATTATTATTATTTTCA